ACAATGTTTAACTAGGGCCAGGGGAGGGATGAAACAACCCAGGCAGGGTTGTAGGTGGTTACCTGGGCCCACGTATTCTTCATCTTTGGAGAAGTATTCCAAGGCAAAGTTGACTGCAAAGTTAACTTTCTACAACCCCTCTGGGATGTTTCTCAAGACATATTTTGAGGCTTGCACTAAGACTAAAATTATTCTATCTTAAAAATAATATGCTAAGAATCACTGTCCCCTACAGGAGCTCACTTTTAGGTTTTGAGTCTGTTGCAAGATCCTACCTTTTCAATTTATTGGGAATGAGCAGTTGTTGCCTACTTGGCCTAGCTCCTGCTTCTTTGCCATTGTCCTATAGTATTGTTTATGACCCTCAGGTAACCTCAGTCTTGGCATATAAGATAGAAAACAACTGATTAGTTGTTCAACTGAACAATTATGTCACCTTGGCTGAAGTAGTACAATCAGTAATAACAATATTATCAAATATAGCCTAGACTCTTTAATAATGCTGGTAAAACTGGATTTCCATGTGCCAAATACTAAAACTAGACCAATGTTTATCATCATGCACTAAACTAAAATTGAAATGGATCAAAGATCTAAAAAGAGAAACACTAAATCTGCTGGAGGAGAGAATAGGTAGAACTCTTGAAGACATTGGTATAGGAAAGACTATGAACAAAACTCCAGTCACACAGGAAAAAATCACAAATAATCAACAACTAGGATCTCATCTTATTAAAAAGCTTTTACACAGCAAAAGAAACCACCAATAGAGTGAGCAGACAACCCACAGAATGGTGAAAAATTTTTACCAGCTTTCTCAGACAAAGGACCAAAGAACTAAAAAACTCAGATCCCCAAATTTAAAGACCCAATTCAAAAATGGGCACCTGAAGTGAAAGGACACTTCTCAGATGAAGAAGTAGAAATGGCACATAAATATGTGAAAAAAATGTTCACCATCACTGGTCATTGGAGAGGCACAAATTAAAACAACATTGAGACCTCCATTCACTCCAGGAATAATGGCTAGTATCAAGAAATCAACCAATAACAAATGTTGGTAGAACTGTAGGTGGAAAGAAACTCTTTTCCATTATTGGTGGAAGTGCAGACTGGTGCAGCTACTGTGGAAATCAATGTGGAGATTTCTCAAAGAACTGTGACTAGAGGTCCCATTTGACCCAGATATTCTCCTTTTAGTATCTTCTCAAAAGAATTAAAAGCATCATGCCACAGGAATATATGCACATCATGAGACCATACTTACAAGTACAATAAATTGGACAAAAATTGTCTCTCTGGTGTGAGAAACTGAAAGGGTTAATAACTACCAAAATAATAGATATTATGAAATAGGAGGAAGATGTTCAAAGGAAAGGGGAACTAGGGAAGGAGGAGGGGGAAGGGAAGGAATGGAAAAGAAAAAAATCAAAAGAGAAGGAAAAAGTGGAAACAAGGCTTTGTAAATAAGGAGGGAAAGAGGGGTTGAAGGAAGTGTAGTGGGATGGGAAAAAGAAGAATCAATATATATCATGTACAGGTGCAAATTCCCTATGATGAGTGCAATCACTATGTATATTTAAATAGTACTGATAAACTTAATTTAAAAAATACAACCTAGATAATGACAGACTGTGGTAGCTATTCATTTGTCACCTTTAACTGTATTAACAAAATTTGTGATCACATAACAAAATCTAAAAACCAGAAAATTATATACAGTAAATATTTCCTCAATGTGGTGATTTTACCCTTAGGGGTTAGGGGAAAAATAGAGAAACAGAAGAAGAGAAAGAGATTCCAACTAAAGCTAGAGGACAAAGGAAGATTACACAAGCTTTGGGAAACTGGTGAAGGGAACAGGAGGGAAAGAGAGAAGGAAGAGATAGAAAGACCAAGAGCACAGAAGAACAGCAATAAAACAAACTAAAACAATGTTCACACTCATATAAAAACAAGAACAAGCAATCAAAAAAAAAAAAAGAGAAAAAAAGGGCAAAGAAAGGAAGAAAAGAAAAAAGTTCACTTCAGGGTGAGTCTCTGCTGTCACTTTTAGACAGAGGAGGCAGACGGAGCCCAGATCCATGTTGATTGAGTCCCAGGATGCCAGCAGTAGATTTATGGTAGGGTGGTGGATAATCCCAGAAAGCCTGCACCTCTAGTTCCACTGAAGTTCGTGATGCTTCTGGTTTCTGGCTGTGAGACTGGGACCTGAGTTTTTCAGCCTGCAACACTCTGGATGCCTCCTGCCAGCTTGAGCTTGGCTCTCTACTGGCTTGAACGTGGCTTCCTGATCTCCTACCAGCTTTAAATCGGTTGTCCCTTACCCTGACACTGGGAACCACTGGATGGAGCCAACCTGCAGCTGCTCTGAGTTCCTAGTTCAGCTGGCTCCTTTCTAAAACGGTGACCAGCCAATTGCCCTCTCCTGGGGGACATCTGAACTGGAATAACTTATCAGCCACTGCAGTACACAGCATCCACTGCACCATTCCACTGGTGTGTCTCTCTGTGGAGGCCTGTGGGGGTTTCCAGTAGTCACCGTGCATCCTCAGGTCTGGTCTACCCCTCCCATGCTATGAGTCGGGGCTCAGGGAGATAATGCTGCTTACCACCTCCCTCTTCTACATTGAGGTCCCTCTCTTCACTTTCCCTGTGGGCTCCAGTTCTTGCTTGAGATCCTTGCTGGGTACTGGGGATGCAATTCCCTCCTTCTGCTCTTCCTCACATTGTGCCATATTCTAACACCTGGACTCCAAATCTCGGAGAGGCTGTTTCTCTGCTGCTCACCACTCTACCATCTTCCCGGAAGTCTCCCCCACTGTGCATCTTCATGAGACATTTGCTTTCCTTCCATTCAAAAGCCTTTGTGATCTTCCACTAGGAAAATATAGGAAAGGTCAACACTCAGCAATCAAAACCTTCCACTGTTGGCTGCTTTGCCCAAACACCACTTCTACTGCCTGTTGTGAATCTCCCCTTTGACATGACTGGCTCACTTACCACTACACACACACACACACACACACACACACACACACACACCCTTCCCATCATCTCAGCTTTGCCCTGTGCTCCTCCAGCTGTCTGCTCCTCCTTTCTCTCCACTTTTATAGAATCAGTCTTGCTCCCCAGATGGGTTTGGTTCTATGTAATTTCCCTTCAGTAACAGCAACTGTCTTGATTGTCTGGACTACTATTGCCACAATCATCCTGGATTCTTTATTATCTTTATTTGCCGGCAATTTGCTTCTGGATGTAGATATGACAGTGGCAACATGCCATACTTTCCCTAGAGAACAGGGATTCAGTATGCTATTGCTCAATCTACCAGAGTTTCATGATGTCATAAAGATGACTTTGTCATTAAAACTGTTTGAAGTGGATGTGGTGGCACTTGACTATAATCTCAACATTTGAGTAAGATGAGGAAGGAGGATCGCAAATTTGAATCCTGATTGGGCAATGTACTGAGACTTTGCCTTTAAGTAAAAATTAAAGGGCTAATAAGGATGTATCTCAGTGTGAAGGCCTGGGGTTCAATCCCCAGTAGCAAAACAAACAGACAAACAAACAAACTTTATTTCCAACAGGACTTAGGGCTTTTTGGATGAGGAAGAAGGTTTTCTTTTTAAAGTTTTTTTTTTTTTTTTTTGGTCTCTCCTGGGTGGGTTATAAAACCTGTAATTATTTCCAGTGTTAAAAAAATAATCCCTCTGAGCCTTTTAAAATGACTCAAATGTTGGAATGATTCATTAGTTTTTAAAAGAAAGAAACTACTGTGACCCTTCCAAAATATAAGAAAGAAGGGACAAGGAGAAGGAAGGAGAGTTGAAGGAGGAAAGGAAGGAAGAAAGAAAGGAAGGAATGGATGAAATTGGTGCTTTTTACAGAAGAATAAACTGTGCTTTTATCTTTTCAATACTCTGAAATAACTGGGAATGTACCAGAAGCATGAGCTTGTTTCTGTGCCTTTGGGACTAAGTAACAGGAAAAAAAGAAGGTTCTGGAGAACACAATTGAAACCAAGAGTTCCTGCGTTCGAGGGGGAGCATGTGTGCTTGGCTGGAATACATGGCGGCTGCCTCCCCAGTGCACGTTTCTCTCCCTGGTTCCATTCTGTCCACTCCGTCTTCGGAGCGGGTGTTCCACAGAGCCCAGCCAGTGGGGTTACTTGCCTGCTGCTCCCCAGAGGGGTAGATTTTGGGTTTGACCCTCAACTGGTTTCAGTGCAGGGAACAGGGCATCTTTGGGCACTTTGCAGTCTGCTACTCTGGGTAACTAAGCCGCCGGCGTGCTTTGCTCCCTGTTTCATGTTCTGGCAGGACGGGTCCTAGATCACTTCCTTTGCTACTCATGAGCCTTTCTGCCCGTGTGGCCTCCTGCTTTCTGCCTTCTCACCTGTCAACTCTTTTCTTGTCCAGGCCGGGTGCAGGTTACCCATAAGTCAGGATAACTTGGGGCTGGGGATTTAGCTCAGCGGCAAAAGCGCCTGCCTGGCAAGCGCAAGGTCATGAGTTCGGTTCCCGGTACCGGAGAAAAAAACCAAAAAAAAAAAAAAGTCAGGATAACTTACCTTCTTTGGTGACTTTTCCCTGGTGTCTTCCCCACTCTTCTCCCAAGCAGAGTTAGGTACTGTTTTGGTCCCTGAAACTGGAAATTTTAAGGAATGGTGATTTACTGGCTCACAGTTCTGGAAGCTGGGGAGTCCGAGAACAGTGCCAATGCAGACCTAGTACTGCTTCAATTCATGCAGGAAGTGGAAGGACAAGCGGGTGCTTGCAAAAAGGCAACCCGTGTGTCTGCTTTACTCTGGCGCATCCTGTTCTTGTGGTACATAATTCCATAAGACCCACCTTAAATCACCTCAGAGAGGTCCCCTTCCCAACATCGCTAAAAGGCCGTCAAATTTCAGCCTGAGACTCAGGGAGGACAAATCAGTTTCACACTGTAGCAAGACCTCTCCGTGGCCCTAAGAGCATGTGTTTCTGTGCTGGCAGTGGTCTGCGACCTGCGGTGTTGGCGTGGCTGCCTCTCCTCTCAGCTCCATAGTCTGCAGGACAAGACCTCTGTCCCATCCACGTTGTTCTCCAGCACAGAACGCCTGGGGAAATGTGCTGCTGTCAGCCGAGCTGGAGCACGGGAACGGGAGCCGAGGGAAGATGACAGGGAAGGTGAGTAGGAAGTTCCTGTCATCTGCACTTGGTGTCAAGACCGCTTCTTTCTCCATTTTCCTCGAGAAGCCTTCCCTCAGCATGGAACGCAGGCTGTGCCCTCTAAATGCTTTCCTCAGACAGTTTCCAAAATTGCAGTTTTCTCCACTACATCAAAGAATTGATTCTCAGGAGGGATAGATTATCTCAAAGGGAAGCAGTAGCCACTTGGAGGTGGTGGTAGTGATAAAAGACCAATCCTAAAGCATACCCTGTAGACCTTTGCCTTATAGTTTGTTTTTGTCTTGGTAGCTCTTAAAAAACAAATTAAATATTGATGTAGTCAGAGATTACAAGGGAAAAGATTTAATACAGGACACATAATTCATTGCATTATTTTATAATATTCACCCAAAGAGTCAAATGCAAGAGTGCGGGAGATCTGTCCCTACACTAGACTCCAAATATCCAGCTGAGTGCCTGGATCCCATGGCAATGTCCTGCATGAGTCTAGATGAAGATCTAGAGTCCATGGCGATGTCCTCCATGAGTCCAGTTGGGGGTCTAGAGCCCACAACAATGTCTCATACAAGTCTGTAACAAGGACCTGCAGTGGGAAGGCCCAGTGGTCAGTGCTAGAAAGACTGCACCAGCGGGAAGAAGGATCTGTGCCAGCAGGCTGAGGGATCTGCACCAGAGCCAGGGGGCAATGCTCAAGGTAAGGACCAGAGCTCCTCTAAAAAGAACCACAGCCAGCTTCAGTGAGGCGAGGCCTAGAGCTCCTCTGACATTCATATTAGGAAAACCATCGCAAACAAGCTTCTCTGGGAGAATAAACAGCACATTATCTTCTCCAGTTCTCTTTTTATGCTGTTGGCAACAATCTCAGGTAGTGGGGCTGGGGCTTTAGCTCAGCGGCACAGCACCTACCTGGCAAGCTCCAGGTTATGAGTTCGATTCCCGGTACCAGAAAACAAAAACAAACAAACAAACAAAAACAATCTCAGGTAGGCCTTCTACACTCAGCACCACGCTGAGTCAGTTCAGCTGGGTCTTACAAATTGACCATTAGTTAATCTACCACAAATACCTTGGATTTGTTATATTGAGGATTTTCTCTTGAAAGAGAGCCAGAGGCACTGTCCAGTTATGGGAATGTGTGACTCAGGAGGATTCTTAGAAGACTTTCTAAGAGTGATAGTGCCAATAGTTTCCAATCTACTTTTTAAAAAACAAATTAAAAACTTAGCTGTGGAGCTAATATTGGAAAATGCAGAGGAAATAAGCGTTCGCGACAGTTGACACCCATTGAAAGCTACTGTTACTGTGATTTGGGAAGGTGTTTGAGTTGAAAAAAAAATAGAGAGAGGCTTCTTCCTGGAAAGGTGAGAACTGCTGGCTCTCTCTCGAACACCACGGTGACACTGCTGGTGATGCTGAGCAAAGGAGAAGAGCAAGTTGCGGAAAGATCATTTTATTTGGCTGGAGATGAGCAAGCATAAAACTATTCCCATAATATTACCCAGAAAGGAGAGGTAAAAATTCAGCTTGTGTGAATTCAGCATAAGGGAAAGGGTCAACCAGGAAGTTCAACTCCTTACGTATGGAGACTTCAAACCCAGAAAACCAATGAAAATGTTGATTTTTTAAAAACTGCAAAGTAAATTATTTGAAATGAAGTTGCCCTCAGAACCGGTTCAGGTTTGTAATGACTCCCACCTCTCTCATCCTGTATTTTTCTACCTGGCCTTATCTTTCCACTTGATACTACAGCTGGTGAGTTTGGAAGGGCCGCTCCCATCACCCGCCTTTCCCACGCGAGCGCCGTGCGCGTCCTGACGCTTGCTCACTTACTGGTGTCCTAGGTGCCCCCTCAGGGCTCTCAGAAGTCACCTTGTCTTCCTGACCTCCTAACACATGCAGCTCTGATCTCCAGCTGAATTTGTCACCGTGGCTCCCTTTGGCTTGGTCCTCTGCTCTCCCTCTATTTCCTGTCATCCTGTCAGCTCCACCGCTCTCTCGGAAGGTCTTTCTCTCCAGTCACTAGCTGCTCCCCGTAACACCTGCCTTGTGTTTGCCCAGATGTGCTCACCCGAGAGAGGAAGAGGTGGCTTCCCCAGCTTCCCTGGCCTCTCCACCTTGGGGTCTGCAAATGTCTTGTGCTTCAGGTGGGTGAGGTATGTGTTACATGTTTATCCTGTTTATGTCCTGGACTTTCTGGCAAGGGAAGTACTAAAATTCATTATTTATTCAAAGCTTACATGTGCCACAACATGTGTTTTTTTGTTGTTTTTTTTTCCAGAGACAGGGTCTTACTATGTAGAGCAGATTGGCCTTGAACTCACTTTTGTAGCCCAGACTAATCTCAAACTCATGGTGATCCTCCTGCTTCAGCCTTCTGATCGCTGGGATTACAAGCGTGCACTACCATGCCCAGCATATGTGTCTTTTCAGAAAGGGCATAGGCAAAAGGAGAAGAAAACAGCTGAGACCACCAAGGTGTGGTGGCTGAAGGTGTCCAAAGGAACCCTCTCTGCCCTCAGGGTCCTCCTTAGCTCAGCTTGTCCTGCTGACCCTCCAACAGGAGGACATGGCGCTAGGCAGCCAAGACCATCACCTTCCCCTGCCAGCCCCACCCCCTGCACCCTTTGGTGCAAAGCCTTCTGGGAACGGCAACATTCTAAGCAGTTAACAGCTAACGGCTTCCCAGAGAATCCTACCCCACAGTGACATTTGGCTGAGACAGTGAAAGAGAAGGGTCTTTCAGGAGTGGGTTGGGAATGAGAGGGAGAAGAGAGAATGACAAGTGTGGGAGCCTCGGTGAAGCCCCGCTCCTCCGCAGCCATGCCTCTGTACTGCCCACAGGTCTCACTAGGCTCAGCCCGGCAGGGCCCCAGGGAGGAAGCAGACATGGACCCTGCCCTCCAGGAGCCTCTTATCTAGGAGTAAAAAGTGCCAAGCACACAGCAAGTGCAAACCTCACGGTCAGGGGGCTTCAGAAGAGAGAGAGATGCAGGCTGGGCACATGGGAACGCTTCTAGCAGAGGGTGTGTTTGAGCTGGATCTTGGAAGGTGACAGGGAGGCTTCCAGAGGCACGACGAACTCGCGCTGGTTATGGAGACAGAAAGTCTCAGTCTGAGGCTTCATCTGTGGCCCTCACACCTTCTCCAGGAAGAGGGTCCTGAGAATGACACACTCGAACATTTTCTCCAGTGTTTCTCAGACGGAAACAGGCCACTATTTATAGGAAGTGATGGCTAAACGTTGACTCAGACTTGGATGTGAGACAGGCCAACCCTTCGCCCCACCGGTCTCTGAATCTCTGACTGAGTTTGTGACATACTTTGGGCCTAGGCCAGGTGTCAGAGAACTCCCTCAGGGGAATAATGCTCTTTCACAGTGAGTGGAAGATAGAAAGTGTACAGGGCTGTGCACTTGAGTTTGCAATTGTTTTGACGTTTTCTTGTTGCCCAGAGTAGTAGCATGGACATAGATGATGACAGCTCTGTGGGCTGACAGGTGAGAAGCCTGCAGGTGACGCGGGGTGGGGAAGAGAGAATGCGTTGGCTGGTGTGAGGCCCAAAACAAGGGTCAGAAAGGGGTAACTGGGTGGTGGAAGGGGAGATGGAAGAAGTCTAGACTTCTTTTTCCCTTTGTTGCCATTTTGGAACTGTAGCTTTACCGTTTTTGTGGAGATTATAGAAAGGATCTGGTGAAATATTTTTCTCTGGCAGAGAAATCATTACAGAAACTTTAAAACCTTTTGTGTAACTATAAAGACTCGTTGTTACTTAAGTCTCGGTGACATCATATACTCTGAACTTTTTATTTTTATAATCCCAGAATAACCAGTATTTTTGCAGATTGGTGTTATTACCAATGGGCCAAATTTAGCCAGTGAAAACCATAACCTTCGAGAGACAAAGCAATCCAACAATACTTAATGAAAAAGGAGCTGACTGATACATTGGGTCCAGTTAATCACAGGATGAAAAGCAGCAGGTTTAGGCCAGAGAGAGGAGTGGTGTGTACTAGCCGTCGGAAGAAGGAGGGCAGGGAAATGGGTCAGTCAGAGTACGGTCAGTCAGTGTTCAGGGCCATGGTCCCCGACCTCAGAACCCTTGGGAGAGAAAAGGGGCACGCATTCTCTGCTTCATCTTTTCTACACCTAGCTTGCAGGAACAAGCTTTCACTTTAGAGGTGTAGAGTTGGTATCCAAAATGAGTTAAGCCAGCCTCTAGTGAAGTTAGGCTCAGAAAGGATAACCTGCCTCAATTTGCAAAGGAAGCTCTGTGCTGTCTCAGTATTAACCCAATGTGGGGCAAAAATGACCATGAAAGAATGTTTCCTTTCTTAACCTTTTGTTTACTGCTCTTCACCTTTCTCCTTTCTGCTATTTCTGATTGCACTTTTCTGGCCTTTGATCATATTGGTGTCCAATTCACGTTATGGCATACTGTCATTCTCTTTGACAGTGATAATTTTCTTAAGGGAAATTTACTGACACTGTATTTTTTTAAACAACAAAATATTGCATAAACAGAGGTCCCTGGGCACTTGATAAAACTGGAAAGGCAAAGGGTACGAATGAGCTTTAGGGAAAAGGTTGCTCGAGGAAGGAAAGGTAGCAGGAGCAGAGGGCCACACAGTAGGGCAGACGAAGCCTTCCCTAATACACTATCCAGCTTTTGGAGTTTGGGGGCAGCACGCAACCAAATGGCTGCTGCGCCCAGGGGTGGGAACGCGGGGTCCCCATAGGACACTCGTGGAGGTGTGTGGAGAAGACATTGACCTACGCACAGAAGACAGGAAGGATTTCACTGGGCAGAAGCGGTTTTGTTCATAGCAGCCTATCAGGCCATCCAGTTACCCCCCAAATACACTGCCTGAGAGCCTGCCTGAGAGTCCTGAGTCACTTGGAAGTACTGCGGCCAGTCTGAACAAAAATCTTGCGACCATTTTCTTCATAGAAATCCATAAAATGGGTTTTGAGGGAGAACCGACCTTAAAGAGTACTTGAAAGAGAAGGCAATTCATGACCTCAATTCAACTTCTTTGGCGTCTTCCCACACTCTTCTATACAAGCTACTGTGTGCTCTGTGCTTATACCCTACACCACAGAAATGAGAGCACGAACAAGCAGTCAGTAGCTTCTCCTAGAGTTGAAGGCTCTAAAAGTCACCTTGGTGCTTTTCAACTGTTTCATAGATCATCTCTGGGGGAGACAGCCAGGTGTGACGGGAGAGGGTGGCATCACCGCGTAGTGAACTGCAAATGAATGGGAGGCTGCTGAGCAGCACCGCTGTTACAATAAGCCAGAAGGTTGGCACTTGTTTCTTCGGCAATGAAGCTCCTGTGAAGGGCCCTCTCACCGAGGCTGCTCTCTCAGTGTTGGGGGAGAAGCACGCAGAGCTCCTCACCGCCGTGTCTTCGGAAGGGCACAGCCAGGCCTGCAGATGTAGAATTTCAGCAGCTGTGACACCGCAGCCCTGACCACATGGCCCACATTTTCCATCTGCCAGCTGACCTGGTCAAATGCCGCTTTGGGAACAGCTCCATCAGTTTTCCCCTAAGTTTCCATTCTCTCTGAAGACTCAATACACTGAAACAAACATGTCAAGAGTGCTCTGGAATCCCTCGGATCTTGGCTCAGTGCAGTGCTGCTTGTATTTCCTCCTCGGTGACCTAGGAGGTCGCCTCAGATGCCGTTTCTTCTTCTGGTGAAAGATCACCTTGATAAGTGGTCTCCAGATAGCTTCCTCCACTCCACGGCAGGGAAGCTCAGAGCGGGAGTCCTCAGGTGTCCGGCAGTCACGGAAGGAACGAGTAGTCAGCTTTCCTTTCCCTTGCACTGGACACTGCATAAGTTTGAGAACCTAGCTGGAGCAAGACCTTCACGCCCTCCAGTCTTCAGTGCTTTCATGTAAGGAAACTTGCCTTCTCTGTGCAAACCAGTCATTTCTCTGCTGCTAAGCATGTTGCTGTCTCGTGACCAGCTCCAGACATAAGTGCAGCTACCCCGAACCTTTCCTCATGAAGTTGTTTGTGGTCACCTATGGCATCATCAGGAGAAATTTAGCTTGATCCCCACTATTCTCTTGTCACGTCCACAAATTACAAGCCAGGCTGCAGTTTCCTTAAAATCCAGTGCTTGTCTAGGGGGACATAGGCGTAGGTACACCCGGCTTAACAGCTGCTAAAAGGGCATGGAGCCACTCTGTCATTTACACCACTGAATTTCTGCCAGGTGTCCGTACCGCACAACTTACAAGAGCAAAATCCTCTCTGATCACTTTGTACTTCAGTTCTGGAGTGGCAGAGAGAGTTCTGAATGCCCAAGGAGAAGTCTTGCCTTTGTCACCCTAGCTCCTTCCTAGGTTTTCTATGGGTCTGAAGCTTTTCGACTATATCATAGAGCTGAACAACGTGCATAACCACATTGTCGGGGCTATGGGGATGGTGCTTCGTGGAGTTAAGCTGAAGGCTCTGGCATCTCTGTAAGGGCGAAACACAATGCAGGCAGCCCTTCAGCAGGAGGCGGAAGTTCCATGTTCTTTGAATATGTCTCCTCTCTCCAGAGACTGGGCCGCACTGTCACTGTTTTGCTGTGGTTCACTTGTTCCACAGCTCCATCCTAAGAGCCAGTAAGAGCTGTGGAGGCAGGAGGAGAGGAGGAAAGACAAATGTCAAAATTCTACGATGATCCTGGGCAGCAAGTGGCCAGCTGGGGGATGAGAACGGGTGACAGAGCCTTTCACCTTTGGGGTCAGTGCCACCGCTGGCTGCAGAGCACGGAGGCCAAAACATCTGTCAGCTGGGCAGCAGCTCCTGTGAATGAATAGCTTTGTCTTTCGGGGTGCGGGGAAGAGTGTTTTTCTATTTGCTCAATAGAAAATCATGTTAAACAGGACCAGTTGTGAGCCTGGTGGAGGCACGGAGCACAGCTGCCCTTCAGACCGAGGAAGCCATCCACATTAGATGCAGGAAGGTTCTTTCTTGCAGAAGGCCCCATGCCACACTCTGAAGCCCTCTGGGGCAGAGGCTAAGGAAGCCAGAAAATGCTTCTGCTGGCTCCAGCAAACCTACCCGACACTGGCGAGAGCACCTGTCCCAGGCATCTCCTTCCCCAGCCTCACCAGCTTTGCGGGCAAGCTCGTATCAGCAGTCTGCTGAGAC